AGCGTTTTCTATGGAGCTGCAAAGGAAATTACAAGAACTGGAGTAAGAACGGGGTGTTTTTTTAGTTTAACAATGACCACTTGTATTGATGCCTGAATTATTTCGGCATCTAACAACGGCAACTCCTATTAACCTTGAAAAATCCAACATTTCTGCACTGTAAATGTAGGTTAACGTAAAATGAGCAGCTTGCTTTGACCCCTTTAGTTTGAGATGAGACCCCTCTGCTTCATATAAAAGTCCCTCCTCACCCTGTCAGGGTTCTCTTCCCCTGTAACAATTAACCACTTATTCTACTTAGTCCTGCGTATAACAAGACTACTCACTAAAGAAAACAATCATTCGATGCAGTTCTTTGACTTTTTGTTTGTTTGCAGACATGTGAGATCGGTCCATGCAGTCGTATATTAGTAGCGGTTTAAAAGTAGTCGTAGTAACTCATGTTAAACCAACTGTGATCCTCTCACTGATGTGGAAAGTATAATTCTTTTGGCCTTGTGGCAATTATTCTGCTATTTATTCCCCTGAATAATGTATTATTTTGTCAGAATAAGTCAAAAAAATAGAATATGAAAGAAGAAAAATATTTTTCTCTTTAGAAGTTGGAGAGAAGCTGTTAACAGATTGTGATTCTACAACAGCACTGTAACAAAGTTCCACTGTCATTTCTTCATATTGTCTACTGCGTTACACATTGCCACCGCCCCCCCCTTATTTTATGCCTTTTTTATGCCTCTTTTACTACCTATGATGGCACAGTCTTTCCACTATTTGGAAAGTATGAATTGAGTCTAAAGAGCAACTTTCATTTTTTTGTCTGGCTTTCAATTTAATGTCTCACCTTGCTAGTGGGATACACTTCTGACTAGTCCTGGGAATTGGAGGGTAACGCATATATCAGGATAAAGCAATACTGTGATCAATTATATATTGCAAGACAATCAAATAATGATGAATCAAGATATCCGATCCTGAAGAAAAATGTGGCTACTTGTCAGCTTCTTTGGCCAATTACATTCCATTCATGTCACCTTCATTCATGTCATAAGTGCCATTGTGAGTAGTAATGAAGTAGTTAGTCATATTGCCAGTGAACTCTGTTTAGAGTGCCTTTTTAAAAGTTGACTTTTTGTCTATTGTGCCTTAATCGTAGAGGACAGTGGATGGGGTCGGAAACTGGTATGAGAGATTGGGGGAATGACGTGGCAATGTGCAGAGGGTCAGAGTTGAACCCGGGCTGCCAATTGGAGGACGATAGCCTCAATACATGAGGCCAACATAACTGCTAGGCTATCTGGCGCCCTTTGCCATACTTTTTAAAATTAAAATATCAATAATTGGTGCAAGTGTATTGATAAATGAATCGCATGAGTCATGATAACGATATGACGCTGTATCGATGTTTTGTCTCAACCCTACTTCTGAGAAGTGAAACAGCAGTGAAAAGCTGCTTCCAGCCAGGTGGCAGGTTACTATCCAAGTCTGCTTATTATCTGACTCTTTAACTGTTTCAGGTACACACGGCTGACTCTGCAACAGGACCCAGAGCGCCTAAGGGCAGTTAACGGGTTAACAGAAGAAGAGGAGTCAGAGGATGAGCTTGACGCTGTGGAGCGTTTGATCTGTAATCACAGAGACCTCCTCCGCCAGGTCACTTCCTACCCAAACAGGAAAATGAAACAGCCTGATTTCCTACCTTACGACCCAGCCGACTCTCTCACCGATCTGTCTGCATTAATGCCTCTCGAGCCCTGCCCCCCCTACGCCTTCTTCTCCTCCTCATCCTGCAGGGCTGATCGTCAGCTGAAGCCTCTGCATGAGCTTTGTAACTCCTACTTCTTGTCACTCATGAAGGAGCAGCTCAGTGAGACAGAGCGACGCCTGCGCGGCGATAGAGGTGCACTGCAAACTGCTCGCCTCACACGCTCGTTGTCCAGAAGGCTTGAGCTCGTCAACTTCATGTTTGAACTGTGGAGCCCAGAAGACCGAGAGGAGGAGGAGGGGAGAGAGAGCGCCGAGGCAGAGCTACAGATGAGGAAGAAGAGCAACATGGAGGAGCTTCAATCGGAGCCGATGAGCCTGGAGTCTTTCTCGTCCTGCGTGGAGGAGATCCCCATCAAGATGGAGGCAGGAGATTCCGGGACAGTGACCCCTGACCCTTACGTTGCCACAGAGATGATGGGAAGTGTGAGCAGCGGGGACAGCATTGAAGTGCTTGGGACTGAGAAGTCTTATCGGACGCAGCATTTAGTCGCAAAATCTGATAGCAGAGGTATGAAAAAATGTGATGTTTATTTCAATTTAATATGTTAATGTTACCATCTGTTATCCATCTCATGGCCTCAAGACACACTGAAGACAATGAATGTAAGGGGTGAAATTAAAAAAGAATACTTCAGTCTAGAAAACTCACCTGACAAATCTACTGAATTATTTTTTACTTTATTTTTGCTTCGTAAAGGTTAAATGATTGATTGAAAAAAGAAATCCACACATTAATAGTGCTGCAGTGGAATTACAGTTCATACTTCTAACATGGCTCTCTTCAACAGAGACACCAGTCATGATGGTGGATACTTCCTTAAAGCGAGCAGCAGGAGATTCAGGCATCAGGCGCGGGCAAGTGTACGCCAGACGGGCTAACAGTGAGGACAGCATCGAGGTGCTAAGCACCACTGAGTCCATCTGTCCTGAAGACCTCACCGCCATCACAGAGGAAGAAGCAGAGCACCAACCTCTGAGTAACGGCTTTGAGAGCCAGGGAGAGAAACTGACAGAGTCCAATGCTGACGATGTCCTCAAAGTGGAGAGTAAACTAAATGCAACTACATCAGCAAGAGAGAATGAAAAAGAAGAGCCTGTTCAAGAGGAACGTTCTGAATTTGATAGAGAAGAGTCCTTAAAGCAAACAACAGTCAGTGGCGAGGTCTTAATTAAAGAGAAGAAGGTTACTGATTGTTTGGAGAGCAGTCAAATCCATGAAGACAAACATCCTGAGAAGACACCTAAACCTCTGCAAGGTAATGTATCTGTGACATTTGTAAGTGTTTGGATGGGGTGCATGTGTGAATGCAAACAATCAAACAGACCGACAGTTTGAGGTTTCTGTGTATCCCCGTTGGGTTTTCTTCCTAATAAGTTTGTATAAAGCATGTCTGATCCTCTCTTTGTCTTGTAAATGAGTCTCATTTTGGACAAACAGAGATGTGTAACATGTAATAATCTTGTTATTACTGTTATCAGTTGAAGAAGCGACCGCGTCGACGTCTCAGTGGTCTGAAGTCAATCAGATTGTGAAGACTGCACCCAACCTCAACGTCTACTTCTCTCCGCATGTTGCCCTGGGCGAGGTTGAGATGTGGACCCGGCCCTGCCCTCCTCTCAGGTTGGTGAGCATCGAGGAGGCGTCTGACTGCACCAGCTTCACCTCAGACCCACCCTCTCCCACACAAAATATCTACAGCAACATCCAATCCCATAAGAGACGGAGGAGGAAGGCTGGACTCAGAGCCCTCAGGTTCCTCAAACAGAACTCATTCTCCCAGCATGCCTTGTTCTGTCTCCTGAGTGGCCGGCCGCTGGTTGTCATCGGAGGTGATGAGATTTTAGTGAGAAAAATGGTGGATGCTCTGAGTCTCTTTCTGCCTGCCCCGGGTCCTGAAAGGAACGCTGTGATGCCATGTTTGAGTGCCCCGCTGCAACTGACCGACCTGATCACCTGGAGACTGATAGGAATACATAGGTACTCCAAGAGACCCACTGCTGATTTACTGAATTCTTCATTACTTTAGATCTTACCTTGTCAATTACATCACAAAAAAATCCCTTTATGTTGAGATGCCCTTCCACCTTCTCTTGGTCGCATGCTAGCATTTCACCAGCAGAACGTAGTGGTGAATAATAGTATACAACAATCCTGCTAAACCAAAGTAAATGACCTTTTGTGGAGGCTGAAAATATTTATGTTTTATTATCTTTTCCCGTTATGGTGAAGTTGTCTTTAAATCCTTTTAGGAATGTTTTCAATGTTAATATTAAATGTAATGTAATAATGTATTATGTAACTCAGTAGGCAAAAAAAACCCCAAAAAAAACAACATGGCCAGACAAAGACCAAAGCGCAAAATATGTAAAAATAAAAACAATTAAAATGCAAAAGAGTAAACAGAAGAAAGGGTAAAAACATTTTTGTAAGTAATTGAAACAGGAAGAAATGTGTGCTAATATTTCCTAATATTGCTGATTACACCATTTTCTTATTCCAATACATATCCTTTAGCCCTTAAGTCATTAAAATTCCATGTCTCTTAAACATTGTTTGAAAAAGATCACGTTTGAAGCAAAAACGACCAAACTCTACTCGGTTCTTTCACCAGATCTCCCTCCAGCTCTTCAACCAGCATCCTTCACTCTCTGGCTCGCTACAGTCGTTATCTGGCTATGTTGGACCTGGATCAGAGGACGCTGAACTGTCCGTCATACTCGGGCTCTCTCATCAGCAGACTGGCCGACCCTCACACCGGCATCAGCCGGGGCATCACCTACCTGCTGCACCTGGAGAGCTGCCTGACTGCACTGACCAACCAGGCTCTGCTGTATACATTTAATTCTGCTTTACAGAAACATCTAAGGACTGCTGCAGGGACTGATGGGAATGAGAAGGAGGACAGACTGGCAACACAAGGAATGTGTAGCAGTGAGAGCGATTTAAAAGTGATTGAATTCCTGTCTGATCTCATCAGTCAGCGCCATGTACATGGACCGCCGGTTTTAAGATTCTCCTTAAGCTCAGTTCACCTGCACAGAAATACAAATGCAACATAAACACTGTATGAACAAAAAGAATCAACTATTTATAGAGATTGTTTATTCAAATCCTTCCTAAATGCACTGATTTCTCTCCAACTTGGACTGCTACACAATATGCCACCTGCAAAAGTGAACATGTTAAGACTTATTTGTTTTATTTGGAGTGTAACATGCTAGTGTGTGTGCATGTCTTTTTTTTTTTTTTTCAATGCTGTGAGGAGTGCTTTACATAGTACTGGATGTAATGCACTTGTGCCTCTCTGGCACCAACAACTTTTACATGCTGACAGCCTATGCAGCAGAAACACTTGACTTTTTATAAAGTTTGACGTTTTTAAAATGAAAGATTACCTGTACTTCTGAATCACATCAACTCTATATATTTAAGCTATTGAGCCTAGAATTAAAACTGTATAATTTAAGCAGCCAAAACAACAGATTTGATATATTGTTACTTTGAGTTTATGCAGCTTGATGGTTCAGAATTACATGAACTTGTCATTATTTACTTTAAAAAAAAATGTCTCCTGTCTGTTGTGCTGTAATGTAACTAGTTTAGATGCTGTATAATGAAATCCCGAATATCCCCTCTGGGGATCAATAAAGTACGATCCTAATGCACTAAGTTTAACATGATTGTTCTGTTTAATACAAGTATAGGTTGTATTGAATGTTCCATGCAACATAACATACACTTAAAAAGTCTTCACTTTTATAAATACATTTTTTTAACAGACTCGTGTAAAGGAGAAAATCTGTTCATGGGAATAATCTTGAACATTTAGCTCCCCCTTGTTGTTTTTACATTATCATAAAATTTGCAATCACTACATTAAACAAAATTTTGAGTTTGAAATTAAACAAGATATTTACCGGTAAGCACCATAGACTGTAAAAATAAAGCACTGATGACGTCCATGCTTGCTCTCACCATCCTACACACAATTCACCTTCAACAGACCCAGGCTCTATACATGCAAGCTCCAGGTAGTGACGATGCCGATTCCCCCCGACATATATATATATATACATATATTTATATACACACACACACACATATTATATAAATATTTGGGATTCTCGTTTAAGCAGTTAAAGCAATAACAGCAATCCAGAACATCTATCATTTTATTTCAATGGTTCATAAAACACTCAACTTTTCAGTTTACATACCAACAGTTCCCCACAGTGCAGTATTAAGCTTGTATCCAGTTTAGACCATCAGCATCCTGAACATAAACTGATCAAGTCGGTTAAGTATTAAACAAAATAAAGTGACTTAATAATGTTAAAATCTCTGTCAGTCCATTTGTCTGCTGGTCTCTCCTGGGCAATTCTGTTGTCTGTATGAAAAAAGAAGATCCAAACACTTATTCATTCATCTGTCACTCATCAATCATTCAACTCTGACACATCTAGAGGAGTTGTGCTGAGTCCTCAGTAAAGCCAAGATCTGCAGCGTGGAAATCAGGCTTAGTTACAACCTTTGAAAAAGACAAAAAGCACAATTAATAAAGTAACATACGAGTGGCTATTTGAAGCAAGCATTGATGCTTAATGAATTTCTTTCTTTTTTTTTTTTTTTTAAACAAATCTACAGAGAACATGACTGAAGCTACAGATGGCCTAAGCCTAAGGGGACATGCATCTATACATTGTATTGAATGTGTTCCTATGATAATGAGTTATTTCTGGCGGTTTTTTCTCGAGATCTCGACTTATTTCTTTTGTTGTCTACAAACAACAAAGCTGGTTTTCCAATAATAATGGGATAATTTTCTGGTGCCTAAAAAAACCCAATAGGCTAGTCACTGGGCCAGACCAGGACATGCCATGTGGCCATAGCTTACAATAATGAGGTAAGTCAAGCCTATTTCTGTGTTGTTGTTTTTTTAAATTTTACAACTCAGGGGATATAAGATAAATGAGACAAGACCTCGAGGAAAAAATATGAATTTAATAGTTATCATGGGAAAATGGAGTGTATAAAATGTGTCTGACACATACATGTAATATCTATGTGTCTGCTTAGGAAATCTGTATGGAGAGGGATTCTCTTGATTATGATAGGCCAACAGAAGAATCAGCTAATGAGAGTAGTATGACTTACGGCTGAGGCTGCGAGGGGACCTTCCCTCGAGAAGAGAAGAGTCTAATATCCTCTGGACTGCCTACAGGAGGTAAAGACAGAAGATTTACATCAGCACCAGCAATCAGGATAAACAGTAAAGGATCACCAAATGAGACAGAGCCACTTACAGTAAGTGCTTCTCACCACCACATAAGGAGGGGTCATGGAAAACAAGGCAACAGATCAGATACACAGGCTTTTACTAACTTTACTAACAAGGATGGAAAGAAAACAAACTCTTGTCTCTTGAGACATTTTAAGCTCAAAAAAGCTTGTGGGGCTTTTGTTTCAGAAAGTGGTAAGTTAAATATGACTCACTGGTCCCAGCTCTCCGTTGAAGACGACAGAGTGGGAATAATGGCACGAAGAAGGTGTACATAATTTCCCCCATCTGAGAAAGACACAAACACAGACAGGCTAGTTTTTTTAAATCAAATTTGATCTTTGTTTCAAATGCTTGAAGAGTTTGATCAGCTGTAGTGTTGTAAATAGATGATCGATGAGGGCATTGTTCAAAGGCCCTGGAAACCAAAATCAACAAAAGCCTTCTATCATGTCATTTATGGTTTATGCTCATCAAAAGAAAACATCTCAAATGGATCATAAATTAGTTCAATTCAAAACTAAAATATTGTCATCTGCGTTTCTGTTTTAGGATTAATTAGGTATGGCTTTAACTTAATCATTAATAATAATAAAAAAACATTTATTCTGTAAAAGAAACAGAAACTATTCCTACCTGACATTAGTGTCATCCTAGGGTCAAGTATTGACTGCTGCACATAGAGCAGGGGTCTCCAACAGGTAGCTCGGGAGCTACTGGAAGCTCGCGGGCAGGTTTTCAGTAGCTCGCCTATCGGTTGACTGACTGTGTTAAAAATAAAAATCTGACGACAGTAATTGCACCTCTTGCCACTATTCATATATTTGGCCCATAAAAACAAGTATGAAGTACTAATGTTTTCTTGGACATTGATGTGAATTTAAGATTATTGATAAGCATTGGCTTATTGCAATTTCACACATGTACAAACAGTAGCTTAATTCAGCTGAGCTATGTAAATAAATGCAAGTCACCCTTGGTCACTTTCATTTTTTGAAAGTAGCTCTCAGATGAAAAAAGGTTGGAGACCCCTGACATAGACTGTATAATAAAACATGGACGTAGACTCGGTCACGTTACCCACTGGTTTCTGAAGGAGCGATGTGAAGCTCAACAATGGCGGTTGCAACTTTGGAAATGCTGACTCTAGATAATTTTCAATCTATCTATAAACAGATAGAGAGAGAAGAGCTAAGCCTTTTTGCACTTCTGCATTTGCTGTATTTTTGTAGGTTTCCAAGTTGCTTCCTGATGTCAACCCTGTCATCTACTGTATGTAACATATTTGTATAGTAAATATGACATGGATGTAAAGCTTTTTGTCATTTAACAAATTGGTGATCAGTTGATAAAAATATTACAAAATATAGAGCTTCCTCTTTCGTCCTCTGATTCTAAATGACACAACTCAAAACACAATGTTAGGGCTGCACATTTTGACTGTGTTGTATGCAGAGTCCAACGATGTTGTCAACTCTGAATGTGCAACTCCCAAACACTCAAGACAAATGCTCTAAAGTGAGCATATTTTTAAACCAGGTCTTTGGGTGCATTTGAATTATCCTTTTTGCTTAGGAAGGTTCCTAACTGAGTGAAATGACTCCAAAGCATTCAAGTGAAAAGAGCGCTTTCAAACGTTCTAAAAGCTAAGGAAAGGTGCATCGATGCTTCTTTTATAAACTCCTTTAGCATAGGATACACCGGACCATCCTTTACGAAAGGATATGAGAAAATGCCGTCCCACAATTCCTTGCGGCCATAACATTTAAAGCGACTCACGCATCCGACTGTTCAAGAACACCAACGATGACCCTGTATGGACCGAGATCTGTTGCAGGAGCAATGTGCAGACAATATGCTTTTGGTTTATTTATTGATTTGATTTATAATTTGTTACTGCCTTTGTATTTATTTTCTTTCTTTCTTTCTTTCTTTCTTTTTATTTTGTGTGTGTGCAGAAGGTGAACATTGTTATTTACATTCTTGTGTGATGTTAAGTGTAGATACCTTGCTGTTATTTGATGTTGAGTCCTATGAGAAATTGTAATATAAAACGTTTATTTAAAAAAAGAAAAGAAAACTGACAATGACCGAAAAGGGACGCAGACCATGTAAGTTACCATGGAAATAATATGCCTTGCACAACTTTCAACAATCTTAAACCAATAGGTGAACTATGAACATTATGCTGATGTTGTATAATGATCAAAGTGAAGTAGCCTGGTAGCCTATATTCCTTTTATTTCAATTCCTTCTGGTAATAAGGATTATTTCCCCGGTAAGAAGGCACAGGTGAACGTTTTTTAGATGCGCTTTCAGTGGTCCATTTCTGGAACATTGTAGTTTCACGACGGCAGACCCATTTCATTTACCTCCGCCGTTGCATATTTACGTCGCCTAGTGGAAATGTGGACGGATTGTCAGAGCAACGTGATCGCCTTACCCTTAGTCCTACATGAATTCTCCTAACATCTTTCCTAAACCTCATGACGTTTTCACCGAGGTTAAGGTAAAGAGGATAGTGAAAGGGGATAGGAGGGACAATCCGAATCCACCCATTGAGTAGTCATGAATGTTTCATGCATTCAGATTCTTGTGGATGCTTGTTTAACTCACAAGGAAATTAGAATTGGTTAAAATATTCGTCTTCAGTTTTGAATAATTTTTTGGATGAGAGAGAAACGAAGCGCCTTTTGGTTAAACTTTGAATCACCATGACCTGGATGACCAAGAACCTTTACAGACATGAGAATTAGTCTTTGAACTTTGGTTATATACGCTAATTTGAACCATTTCAAGCTAAATTTAAACACAATGTTCTCTTTTTCTTCTTCTAAACAGTCAGTTATGGGACTCACCCCTTGAGTCACACAGGGTAGCACACACTAGAAAGTACACAAAAAGCATTAATGACCATGGTGTGAGTAGTTCCAGTTCCCCAATAATACCATTAGAGGCCTCTTTGAGTCATCTTTGCTTGAACCCGCAGACAATGAGTTGAGGCTTAAATTTACAGTTCCATTGTTAATTGAAAAACATCCACCTACCTGTTGTGTTTTCTATCTCCTGTGTGACCTCATGTACGAAGGCGCTGAGGCGGTCTACGGACAAAGTCTCCCACAGCCACTCGAGAGCCCAAACATTCTCCTGAGGGAATGAAATGATGTTGGATTAATCATTTATATCTTCAATTTAGCACCATGTCTGCTACAGACATTCCCACAACACCTATAGGTAAAAGCTACTTCTATGGTTAAGTGTCATTCATATTATTTAAGCCACAGTAGTACCGGTATATGAAATACAAAGAGTGGGTGGTAACATCTATAGCTGTTTGAAAGTAGGAACTGTCAAAAGGAACTAGGAACTCGCTGGGGTTTTCACTGCAGGTAGCAGGGTTTGAATGATGTCACTGGGAGTTTATTTAACTCCCATGCTAGCGGAGTAGTGCTTTGTAAAAGTTCAGGGACGTTTGCCTTGAACATGCAGCTCATAACATTTCTGATGTGGAGATACTAAACAGATGGCTGAATACTCTGAGCATTTAGAAGAATATTTTATACCCACAGGCTAATTTGCTTAATCTTCATGGGCCTTTAGACTAGTGTTGGGATAAAATATTGATGTGAAAGTACGACGTCATCATCAGAGTCACCTCAAGGCGTAGGCGGTGTAGACGATCACTTAAGGCCTCAAGTTAAACTCTCAGGTTTGAATAAAGCCAAAAAATGTGGTGTTTAATGTAAACCTACGACCAGATTGAGAACTTCCTGAGTAACCTCTGCTCTGTGTATTTCACCACTCGCTCTCCCCGTGCACAACCACTCACTCATTAAGAACTCCCAACACAAGTCACATATGGACGAGAAAGGAGATGAGGGGCATTCAGCTGCATGTGGGGGGAAAACAACGCAACCTATCATTATCATTTCAAAGAGAAAAAAGGGTTAGTCTGAAGAAGCTAGAAAAAAAACATTGCAGCTCTGTATGCTGAGACAAGAGGTAAGGTGAAAGGTACACCAAGTGACAATCACTACCCATTCAATAGCCATCAGAGGGATTCATTCCTATGTGCTACAAATTAGGGTGATGCACATGACTTGCACGGATGGTCATTTTTCTGCTAGTAAGCCCTTTTGCTCCAGCACTACTTTAGTACACCACTTCTTCTTCTTTTCCAGAAGCCCATCAGCTGTTTGGTTCTGCAGGCTTTGCAAGAGACAACAAATACATCCAAACTAAAAAGTGAGTGCTTTTCATGTCTCATCATGCAGAGCTCCCTGCCTTACTGAAGTAAATTTTCAGCTCAGATTGTTTTTTATTGCATAAAGACACAACCCATGGTCCTCCCGATATGTTTATTTATTGAAAACACACCAGTCCCCATTGTTGATGAAAACTTAGCTCGAAAAACAATCTTTATAGCCATCACTGTGCTGTTTGTTAGCCTACTTAATATAACCTTAAACCGGGATGCAGTAATATCAACATTTACAAAATAACTATCAGGCTAAGTTAAAAACCACATTTGAGTGTTACACTACAGACCTATAGAGCTAAAACAGAAGGGCTTGCAAGCAGAAAAGTAAAGCGGAAATTTTTCTCTAAGCTAACCTATATCTCTGGTGTCTAATATAATTACTATTGACAAGTACCTCATACACCCCCACTTCAAAAATACTGGACTATCCCTTTCAGGTATTGGCGTAATGACAAGCACCCGGTAGTATTGCTCTGAGCATGCTAAGATATGCGCTTCATCTTTTCAGGGGCAGATTGTATTCTTCAGATAATCAAATATCCTGACGTATAATTAAATGATTACCTAGTAATATATTGAATATATTGAACCCCTGTATCGTGATATTATCCTTACAATCGGTCATGTATTGGGAATCATATCATATCGTAATATAAAGTATCGTGAGCTTCCCCACGATTCCCTCCCCTACTTTAGAACTCAACGGAAACCCAGACAGCAATTTGCTTGATCCCTTGAAAAGTTACTGTTTGTAGTGTAAGTCCTGGATACTGTTGGTGGAAGAGAGGGATATATTACCTGAAAAGTGCTGAGCAAAGTGAGGGCCGGACTCAAAGCCCCGTTCAGGATCCTTAAACTTAAAGCCCCCGTTACCAACAGCAACAAAGCCTGATCTGGGTACACCTGCAAACACACACACACATATATAAACCCTTAATCATCTAACCCACTTTAACATATATGGCTTGTTCAGTTTACATGTTTAGATTGTGTTGTATGTACCACCAGAAAGAACCGTGGGATATGTATATTTGTCCCATTCATGTTGAGTAGTATCGAATTCACAGAATCCTTGGTTTCCTGGAGTCCAAACATAAAAACAGAATTACAGAATGAAAACTGCTTCTAAAGATTAAAGGAAACTTGTGTAAAAAAAATAAAAATAATGAACTGCTGATAAATACGAAGCACGCACATGTAGAAACTGAGGGCTTGGTGCTGGTAGAGCGGCTGAGTTGACCTCTTTGAGTAAAATGGTCCAACACTGGGTCTGGAAAAGAAACATACAATAACACATTAGTCAGAAAAAACTGAAGGAAAAGCCAAGCATACACATACGCAAATCTCAAAGTGCTTAAAATAAAACGAGGAGAAATAAAGGCATTCATAATCACTGTCACAACAAACACTCAGAAAAATATGCACAAAAACTATTCAACATTAATAAATAGCTTAGAAAGACAGCATTCTCAAAAAACAACCATAAAGAAATGTGTTTTGTTTTGTAATAGAATATATTGAATTTATTAATGATATAACTACTGGTAGTAGGGCTGTCACAATACCAGAATTTTAAACTTCCACATGATACTAGTACAAATCCAAACATAGCCTTACCTGTTTTGATACAACAGAAACAAACATTGAAGTCTCAGGGACGAGTTAACAAAACATGTAGGCAAACTCCTGCACACTCTCTGAATTGTACAAATACGCAGCCAATGTATTTGTGCTATTCAGACAGTGTGCGCTCTCTTCCTTGGCATCAGGATGAATTCTGGATTGTGAATGGTAAGAGATGAGCTTGTGGACTTACATCATTGTACACAGCAGAGCAGCATTTCTGCACCCTCAGAGCAAACTTCACCAGCTCAACAAGCTTCAGAGGCTTGGCATCTACAGAGAGGAGAGTTTGAGTTGTCATACTCTCATTCATTTGGAAAAGGGTTTTCATGAAAAGTAATCCGTAACAAATGCATGACTCTGACCTTTTATTGGCTCCCACGCTACAGCAGGAAAACAGATCTGATCGTGCTGGCTGACCACCAGCTTCGGTGCTGTGGCAAATTTAAAGATGTAGAAATAAGTCATGAAGAGAGGCGGGGTGAGGCGGGAGGCAGGAGCGTTAACTGAGGGGAAGAATCTGTGCAGAGCTGACGTGAAGTCCCCCTCCATACTCGTGAAGAAAGGGACGAGGTCTTGTACCTGCTGGAGACTAACGGAGACACACACAAAAAAAAGAAGAAGCAATCAACGACTTCAATCTCTTCTCAATCAAAATAATAATGATGATATTCTATTTTGACGGGTTCAAGTTGTAATAAATAAATGTCTGCATTGATCTGTATGTGTTTTGCTTTTGTGTCTAAGGATTTTTTGATTAACAGCACATTTTTAAGTGTTAGATTCCTTTGCTAACAGATACAGTAGAAAAAACTGACGTCCATCTAATTGTAATAGAGCACTTTTAAGGCAGCCTCTACAGAAACAATCGTTTGAAATCCTGTAGGATAAAAATGCCACTTACACTCTTTTTCCTTTAATCTACAGAAATATCATCTATAAGAGTATTTGTTTATTTGATCACTCACAGTTTGGGATCATCAGTCTGGACCACTCGAAGGTAGCGGCACAATTCTTTATACCTGCAGATGGTGGAAGCTAGTTTTAGTTACACAGGCAGTCTTCAAGTCAAGAATGTGTTCATCTGTAAGTGCATAATGGTGACAGAGTGTGTATGTCCCATTTGTACCTGCGCTGCTGCTGTAGTGCTTCTGTTCTCAGTAAAACTATAGAAAACTGTTCAATCAGGACATCCTTCTTGCCTTTGTCTGTGCGAACCCCTGACACGTTCTGTCCCTTCAGCACCGACACTAGCAGGACATCATCCCAAGGACGGACACACAGTCTGAAAACAACAACAACAAAACAATCAATGTAACATGTTATAAAAAACACACACAAAGGCTTTTAATAGGAACCTTTGGGGACTCACACACCTGTTCTTCAAGCTCTTTAGCTCGTGGGGGAAGGACAATCTCTTGTAAAATTCCTGAAGTTTGTTGATAAACTCTGGAGTGAAATCAGCCATTACCATCTGTCTCTGCAGCGATGATATTACCCTGGATAAACACACACAAAGACGATGAAGGCAACACAAGCAAATGAAGTGGTTACAGTAAGGACACAAGATGGGATCTGTGTGCGTAGTGTGCCTGTATACCTTTTCAGTAACATTCCTTTGGCTTCAGCAGGATTGGCCGTTGGAGATTGTGGGATTAGAGCCCTGTAAAATCGTATTCAAGAAAATGTATACTCAGATGTAAAAAAAACACTGCACAGTACAGCTTGACTCACTTTCGGTTCCAGGTACTGAACCCAGAGTTCATTGCAAGCTTGGTGACATGAAAGATGTGATGGTCCTCCCCCCCCACTAACACAACTCCCCACTAAATGTAAAGACATTTTAACATATTGAAGCGTCCAGTGTGATTAATTAAATCACACTGGAAGAGATGCTTGTAATCTTCAAATATTTAAAAGGATTTATGTTGATGTTTTTTTCTAAATGTTGATAGGGTGCTAAAATAAATATATACTAGAGACAGGCTTTTGACTTAATGTTCTTGTTTCCAGGAAATGTGTGATGTCATGATAATGTGTCCCATCTCGTTTTTATACCATCTCAAGCCCTCACCAACTCCACACTCACCCCCAGTCCACCTGATGCCGTGAGGGTTCACTGCTTAGGCTTTAGGCTGGAAATTGAGATTGGGCCGCTTAAAAAACGAAATCTACACTGATCATTTAGTGCTAACTTTCCCCTCTGCTTTGCTTGCATTCACTGTCACTCTCTGGATCTCATTTGCTCACTCTCATGAATAAGATGATAGCAAAAAATAAACACCAAATTAAAAAACCCTACCAGGCATTGTCCGATTAAAAACCAGAAATGACCTTATACAGAGTGGAGATGAGCCAAGCAGTACCATGCAGTGGAAAAAGAGCTTAAGTTTGTGTGTGTTTGTGGTGATGTGTGTGTGTGTTTGTACCCTGTGACTTGAAAATGTCTAATAAAGTCCTCAGCAGCTCCTAGATTCAAGACGGCTGCAGCTCTGCCGTCCTGTTCATCGGCCTTGTTCAGAAATGATGACACAAACTCGTACACTTCAGTATAACTGCAAAAAAGAATCAAAAATAAAAAAGAATCAAAAATAAAAATGATCTGAGCTTGAATACAGTTGTATTGCTTGCAAACATATTTAAGATGGAACAAGCTGTTACAAATTCTACTGTTGGTCTCTGGATTTGTGAGATCATCATGCAACCAGTTGTAGAGCAGTGTACTTATAGCAATGCGAGCTTCAGGGAAGGTAAGCGGAGTCTGTCAGTCACTCACTCGTGGATGCGACCTTGCTGGTTGTGTACCTTCAGACCATACTCCTCAAACGACTTTCCCTTCTGGAAAGTTAAAAACCAAGCAGATAGCTCTTGTCTGAAGCTCTGGAGCATGGCCTCTGGACAAGAGAAAGACAATTTTTGAGCCACTGAAATACGCGTGATCATGATCGTACAACAAGAGGTTTAATCTGATGTGGGTGTGGTCTCTGTGTCCACTTGTTTGTGAGAGCGAGCACCTGCATGTCGGAGGTGAGCGTCTATGTCAGAAAGTGTAAGGTCGAAACCCTTGAGTCTTCCCAGCAGTGCTGTGTTTCTTAATTGGCTCCAGAAGTTGCTTCTTTTGTGGCTGTTGCTGTGACACAGACCTTTGTGATACCACATTTCACACTAAGACACAAACACAAACACACATCTGTAACTTTAATTTGTCTGTTACTAACACAAAAAAAAAATACATTTGTTGATTGTGCCCAGAGGGCAGACATGGTGCACAGAAAGGTTAGTTCACACATTAAAAATACATTTTTCAGAAAAGACTATTGGGAAATTAAGATTAATTACAACCTTTTCAATGAAAATGCCTTTTTCGATTTGTCTTTGTTTATAAGGACTCTGCAATAAATTGATGCTCCTTCGTCAATATGGGCATCACATCTCAAAAGTCTGATTTATTGCAATACAGAAGAAAAGTTATTTTATTTAAAGAAGTAATTATTTCTTAATAAGTAGGGGTAAAGTTAACCTATTGGATGGAGGTATGAGTTTACTGGTTAGCTTTCACAACATTTTGATGCAGTCAGATTATTCAGTCAGCTACCCTCAGATAGATAGGTGCCAATTTAGTGTGTGCGTGTGTGTGTGTGTGCGTGTGTGATTTTTAGATTTATTTTGGATTGCTGCAAACACACATTGTGTGAATCATGAAAAACATGAGATATATACAATGCCAGTTATAGCTAATATGCACTCTTTAAAATCTGTTTATTTACTGCACTTCATTATGTATGCTGAATACTGAAAAATATAATCACACACTGTACCTTTTTCTAATATCCTGTAGGCCTGACATGAACATAAAAACACACTGGGTGACTCTGGTTTGATTGCAATATATATCACAAAAAGAAAAGAAAAGATGTCGCATTGACTATGTTTCCGATATTGTGCACCCCAAGTGTTTTTTGCCTGTTCCTAAAGGTGGGACAGAGGGGCTGTGTGTGCAGTTTACAGACTACCTCAACACGTACCGTTGAAGCCAGCTTGTCACAGATGTAACAGAAACACTGATCACAAAAGAGCTTGTTTTCAGCCACAGGAGCCCCAACCTCACTTTCTGTAGCCCTGAGCAGGACAGAGGAGAGTCAGTGAAAAAAAGGAACAATAATCAGTAATTCACAGTGTGTGTGTGTTTTTTTTTTTTTTTTTTTAACTAGCTCACAAGAAAGGATGTACTGGACAGTCGTATCGTGCGTGAGGCAGCACCTCTGCACGGCGGGAGAAGGTAACAACCAGGTCTTCATCCAGAGCACTGGGGGGTAAATCACAGTCTGAAACACAGAGGAAGCCCAGTGGTCAACAATTTGTCACATTAACATTCATTAACAAGCTGGTGTGTAATGCTAATACATGTTACCATTTTTCTTCACATCTTCCGCCTCCACAATAAGAACTGAGGGTTCGTTGCATGATTTGTCACAGTCTTCTTTATCATCATCATCCTCATCATCGCTGAGGATGATTATTTCTCCGTTGTCCACTGCCGTACACATCAGAAATATCTAGCAAAGAAAGTGGAAAGAATGGCAAACATAGTGTGTATATATATATATATATATATATATATATATATATATATATATATATATATTTATCTTGGTCATCCAGTGAAATTTTTTAAGACTTTGTTTATTAAATGAGTAAAGGCACAGGAGGACACACCATTCAAGTTTTGTACTTGTGTTAATCTTGCTTTGCTGGTTTGTTTGTAGTGTGATAGAAAACTAGAATGACATTTTTTTTCATTTAATTTATTTCATTTATTACACACTAATATATAAGTAATAAATATATATATATAACTACAAAGCTCCCTCTGACTGGAACAATCTACCTATAAACATCAGAACAATAAATTCACTACACAAGACATCACTGCTACCTTTTCTCATAAAACCACGTTGCTGCTTCTCATGGTAATGTCTTCTCACCCCTCTAATATCTTGACTGCATATGTGCATCTATCTCTGATGACTTTGTGGCTTTGCGGGAGGGATACGTGGGCGGATGGGTGTTTGAGAGCCTTTATGTTTCTGTGTGTATTTTGTGCTTGACTGTCTGTATCACACTGTAGTGTGGTGTTTTTGTTTTTGTGTTGGACCCCCTCGAAAACGAGATGGTTCATCTAAAGGGGCAATCCATCAAATAAACAGAATTTCTCACATATATAACAAACAAAGCAAAGAACAATAAGAGCATACTTTCTGTAGAGGCTCGATTTGTCTTAACTAGTCCAAAGGGAAAGGGTATGGGATGAAGTAAAACAAAAACATATCCAGTCCTACACCTTTTTCTGTTAGCTGTATAAGTTTATTTAAGACCCAAGTTTTATAAATGTAAAGTCAAAGAACACAGATATTTAACAAAATCAACAAATATAATGTATTACACACATAATCTGTAGACGGTACAGACCTTACAACTTATATTGATTCAATTTTCTCTCACTCTTCAATCATGTATCTTGTTAGATGTCATTCTTCAGATTTTGTTTCAACTTTCCTGTTTTTCCTGTTTTCATTTCTCCACCTCAGCTGTTCCATAGATCATCTCATTTGTTGTGATAAAAGTAAATAAAACAACTTTCCTAGACTAAGTGTATTAGTTACGAAGTAGCTGCATCATCCTGTAGCTTTAACTTTGCTTTTACAGTCGTGACCAAATTCAATGTTTTCTTACTTTTTAAGAAATGAGGTAATGTTAACTTTTCTAGTCCCGAAACTGAAAGTCAGCCGAGTAAGAGGAAATACAAACAGTCGCGTTTTGTGTCAACATTAAAAGATGAAACGCTTTTCTTTCGTTAATGTTTACTCCAAACTATGATAATTTTTAATCAATTCAAAAAAAAGTTTAAATAGTAAAGTGACATTTTTCTTACCTTCGCTGTTCAGACAAAATAACTTTTTCTTTTGGCGCACGACTCACTCAAACGACTCCGGATGTGACGTCTCGTTTCTTCTTTGTTGGTTGTTAAAACGGTTTGCAAACCAACAAATTGTTGTATTACTGCCACCCAACGTACTGGAGGGTGTTGCGCCGACTGTAAATGCATACTAAATTAATATTTAAAAATAATATTGAATTAATATTAAAAAAAAAAAAAAAAAAAGCCATAGAATAAAAATGTCCTGACATGTAGACACTAAGTTCTTTGTTGTAAGTTGTGCTGCTGTGAGACTGCTCTTTCTCAGCTTTTTGTAAGTCAAATTTGCATGCACAACGAAGACTCTATTTGCACAACGAAGACTCTAATTATCTCAATGATTGTTGTTATCACATTAAGCAATGTGAAATTTATTTTCATGTTGAAAAATTCATGACTTGCACATACTGTATGTAAAATGACTTGGCAAGTGACGTAAACAAAATAATATTCCATCCATCAAAAATAAGAAAATATTTTCTCAAAGCTTACCGTCATGGCAGATTTTTCGATTGGTGTTAGTAACGCAGCGCTCATAAATAAATTTGAATCGCTATCTCTTCTCAAACATTTTTATGAATCACCAGGAAAAAAAAGGGCATGTTTCCGTTGACTGTGCAGGGTGCACTGCAACACTAAAGCAAGCAGTCAAAGCTACAGTTCACTGCAAAAACATTAAGTTTCTTAAACCATCACAATGTAAATAACACAATATGATTCAATAGAACACAAAGAAGAGGTTGACTGTCTCATCAATCATTTACTGACACTTGAAATTTATTTTAAATACAAGTTACAAAATCATCCATATTCCTACAAATGTCTGGAAGAGGGTCCCTGTGTATTACGTCGACCAAGAGGCGCTTGTTGTCTACACAGCTTATTCAAAACAGACCGACTGAAAGTGAGGTGAAGAACATGGGTTTTATTCAGTGCTGCTCATCCTGTCCTTTTTACGTGGGTTAAATCTCCTCGCTGCTGCTTTCTTCTCTTGTTTTCTTTGGCTCTCTGTCAGTTTGCCTTCACCTTCTGCAGCGTCCATCTCCGCGTGCAGCTTTGCCTGCTCATCATCAGCGCTATTAGCAGGCATGTATCTCAGCCAGTTCTGGTAGAAACCACGGAATCCATCGATTTGGATCAGGTAGTTGTTTCTGGACTTGTACTGTGAAAAGGGAAGATAAAGAGCAGATGCAGGGAAAAGAAAAAAACAAAACAACATCTGAATCTTCAGATTAATGAACTAAGTCCTAAGCCACACTGTTTTAAAAATGTTCTTTTTGTATTGTTTTATTTTAAAAACATTAAACAAAACTAAATTTAAAGTCAGAGATAAATGCATAGTTAGTGTCTTCAATCGGCTGATTTTAAACCTTTTGCAGGACGTGGAATGTCTTTCCTATTAGTCTTATTGTCTTTAGCTCCAACAAAGTTACTGTGCCTTGAAGATTATATGTGTCTTTTTGTTATGATGACAATCGACACAGTGACAGATAGATCCACCATGAGAAATGTACTGACCAGCTGAAACACCAGCTGAAGACCGGCGCTTACCTGGTTATAGTTGGGTGGATACTGTGAGGCAAACTCCAGCTGTCTGATGATGACCTCGTTTGGCCACACCTTCATCCTGCTCATACTTTTGAGGATTGTTTTCAGGTAGATGTAATCCAGTTTTCGGGTTGCTATGCCAATTAGAGCAGAGAACACGTGGACATTTGGATTTAGTCCGGCCTCCTGCAAAAAAAACAAGTGTGAAGATGAAAAAAATACCACTCAAGTCATATAAAGAACTTATACTTGTACCATTGCTGCTCCAAATTACATACTAGTATTTCTCAGGACTGTTGGTACTGTTTTTAACTTCCTATATCTGATTACATAGAAAGACAATGAAAATTGGAAAAAGCAGCTGACAAGCAGACAACTAACAGAAAAACAGAATGTCTGTCCTAAAGATCTTAGTTGTATTACTTCCATGGTTTCCAGCAGCTGCAGAGCATCCTTCTCTCGCTCACAGCCCAATGCAAGGCTTCCAAATGTCTGCACGTCCACGTTTACATGGCGCTGTCGCATCACACTCAACACATCCTGGAAAGAAGAGGGAAATGCGTTACCCTTCTGCACTCAGACTTAATTGGTCGATACAATAAACCAATTTATGTTTTCACTTAACTATTAGTACTAGAAGAAAGATTTGGTTTAATTGACCCAAGTTATAATGTGTTCTGTGGTGATCAGAGCATTAAAATCTACATTAAAACCACATTAAAAAAACATCTTTCCACACTGTATCCCTCATGTACGGCTCAGTAACATGCGATCTTTGAGATTTAAAGTTCAAAAATCTTGAAAAAAGACAAAAAAACACCACCAATTACAGAGAGTGTCTTTGTGTACCTTTGCCCCCTCCAGGTCACCAGCTCTGGCAGCTCTGCGAATCACAGAGTTAAAAAATGCTACATCAAGCTTCACTTTGTGCTGCTTGGCGACCTTCAGCAGCGTCTGCAGAGACTTGAAGCCCGGCTCCATCGTGTCGGCCAGCAGGGTCAGAGTCTTGATGTCCGGACTGAGCCTGTTAGCTTCCATCTTGTCCAGGAAACCTTCAGCTCCTCCGATGAGGGCAAGCCGATCAGATACTTTGCCCACAGTGCAGAGGGAAACCACGCAGCCCCTTTTACCCTCAAAAACATCCAGTAGATTTGGGGCTGAAGAAGAATCAGCTGCTGAGTCAACAGGCAGGGAGATAGTTTGTCTGACTGGTACCAACTGGGTTGAGCCTTCGCCTCTGTAGGACTCCTCCTCCTCCTCGCTGTAGCTGCTGTTCTGCAGAGCGTCACTGAGTGGATCAGGCTGGATGAACAACTGCCTCTCCAGAAATTCAATGTCTATCAGATTCTTGTATCTACTATCGGACTTTACATGTGACACACCTTCCCCCTCATATTTCAGGTCAGGACTCAGCAGCACACGAGTGGCCAGGGCCTGATTGCCAATCCCACAATCCCTTGCAGTGCGTAAGAGCAGGTTATAGTTTTTTGAGTCTGGACGAATCCCTGACCTTAGCATCTGCCGCCAAACCTGAAAGAAACAAGAAAAAGAAGTGATGAAACTTATGACTGTGAGATTATATTAACACAGGAAGGCATGTCAGAAAACATTAACACACTTCACTAGATCTTTGCGATATTATGAATTGTGATACTGGATCGACCCTTCACTGCATTTAAAATAATTCAAATTTTTTTTGCTCATATAGTTAAATGTTAAATCAATTTATAACACCTTTAAAAAAGTAGATCCATGCTGTTGGATATCTGAGAGACTGTGATCAATACATTTGCAGATCTGACTGTTCTGATTTCTTGGAACAATAAACCTTTTGCTCAGATTTGGTACAAATGATGATGTTTCAATATAAAACGACTTATTTTTCTAAAATTCAATTTTTGAAAAATAAAAACAACACAGTATTGCCCTGCTAATATCATTACAATTAAAACAACAATATGCTGACTCTGTGTAACCCCTGTGTTTTTATATATATGTATATATTATACATCCAGATTCTGCCAACACACAGGCTTCACAGAAATGAGCTTAAATGTTTCACAGTGTGAGTCTTTGAGCAATCCGTGTCACAGACTACAAATCACTGTTATAACTATTTAAAAAAGGTCAAAAGCTTGTCCGTGAAGTTGCAGGTACATCAAACATAAAGCAACTGAATGACGTCACCCGTCTGTTACGGCAGGAGGCTCATAGCGCAACATTTATGTTTTTATTTATATTGTGCATATTTTCCATTATGTTGGAGCCAAATGAGGTGTTTGTTTTGTGTGATGCTATTTTCCTTATGGTTGTGTGTTGGCCCTCTACTGGGCACTATGTGTAGCCTGGGCAGATGCTGTGGTTAAGACAAGGCTCCAGGTGAGGTGGGACAGGTGATTGAATGGAGGCAAACAGTTTTTTTTACCGTGTCAGCCTGTCGGAGTTAAATGCATCCAACGCGGATTTGTTTGTTTATTTATAGACAGTGGTTCGTCATATGTTCCTTTATTGATAAAAAGTGTTTAAAAATAAATGGATTGAAATATCCAAATCAAATCATTAATGGACTGTGTTAATTTCTTTGAGCTAAGCACGCGTCCGAAAGCTTCCACATTCATCCCTCAAGTGACTTTTCTAAACAATATTGGGTTTGTTAAAATTGGTCACTACACATAATGCTTGTTTTTCATGGTTAGTTTGAAAATGTGGATCAAATTAGCAGGTCACATTGTAGGATTTCATTCATAAATTTCAGATGCTGTTTTAATATATAGCGTGACGTATTATTGTCAGAGGACGGGTCCCGGCATAGGATCAAATGTATATTTGGTTTTGATTAGCCAAATCCATATAATTTCACATATTGAAGTGATAGCCTTTTTTTTTTTTTTTTTTATCTCTGACTAGCAAGACCTGAAATCTCTTTTTCTCTGTAAATACATCTGGTGTCTACATCATGTATGCACCTGTAAAGCAAGTCTGAATCCTGTCTCTTTGTCCTTCAAACAGCCCATCAGCAGGTAGTGAAAAGTCTCCTGAGTCACCACGTGGCCATTCTGCAGCATCTCCTGCAACAACAAAAAAAATAAAAACACACAAGCTCATTTAGGAACACAAAAACAAATCAGAAGACCCACTGTGCAAAAAATGTCTGTCCATTGCCGTACCTTGATCGTGTGAATGCAGGCTTGGAGGTGGTTGGTGATGGCGTGCGTCTTGAGGAGGGCATGGTATGTTATGGTGCTGAGGGGATAGTTTTTTCGCCGGAGTTCTTGCTCCAACTTCAGCGCCTGCTGGAGGCCGGCCTGCTTGGATGGCGACTCAGCGCAGGCATTGAACAGTGCAGTGTAGGTAGCATCTGTTGCTTCAAGACCTCGTTTCTTCATCTAGAAGACACACAAACATTATTGCGCACGTAGAACAGGATATTTCATGAAGTACACTTGGCTGAACTTAATACAGTCAAGCAACACATCTGATTCCTCTAGTTATTTATATGCACTGCAGTTTTGGGCCAGTTTTTTCCTCACGCTGAGGTCAGGAATAACACTTGACATGTAAATAAAACGTTATAGGAACAAGTGGAACAGTACAAGGTGTATAAAAGAAGAATCCATACATCGTTGTAAAGTTTGAAGGTCTTCTTGAGCAGCCCAGCTCGACCACAGCCTCCCATAAGGACCGAGTAGTTAAACTCCTCAGGCTGCAGCCTCTCCTCCTGCAGCATGTCTCTGTTGAACACATCCAGGGCCTGCTGCAGCTGGAAGAGAGACATAGGACATACGAGGCTTGACACAACAAAGAGGCCAAGGATGTAAGAGGGGGGGGGGGGAGTCCGAGCAGACACAAACTGGACTAACCTTGTTCTCTTTGATCAGCTTCTTGCACTTTAAAAAGTACCAGTAGGGTGTGTTTATCGCCACGGCTCTCCTGCGAGGTCTCTCCGACTCCTCTTCCTCGTCGTCTCCGTCGTTTTGTCGCAGATCCCTGATTTCTGGGTTGCTTTTCTTGAACGACCTCCTGGAGGATATGTCCGTGGACAGGGAGCCGAAGCCCCTCCGGTCTGATGGGTCGCTTTCGGGGTCAACCGGAGAGTCAGCACCCCCGTGGCAAGCGGCCGATAGGAACACAGATCTGGTGGTTAGTCCGCTTGGCAGCTTTAAGTGAGCCGATTTGAGGACGCTGGGTGACAGGTGTCGTGAAAGATCCTGTACCCCGGTTGGATTTAGAGTTCCTTGTGAGTTTTTAACCATTGACAAAAGGGAAAACTTAGCGACAGGGACCGAGACCTTCCTCCCGTTTCGCACACACGAACAGGAGACGGACGCCAACATTGTCAGCAAAATTATATCTGCAGATACTTGTCAACACGAAGTTTTGCAGCAAACTAGGCTGTTCAGCTAAGTATAGATGGAAACTCACTTGGCGCAGTCATGTGGGGCCTCCACGATGTTTCAATGACACTGACCAGCCAAGACCTTATCAATAGATATCGAACAATAACATGGACTCTCCAAGTCTGTCGCTTTTGTCCACGAAATAAACGAAGACCTTATTGATTGAAAGCATATCATTCTTTATTTCCGAGTTACATGAATTTTCGAAAACACTTTCTTGACGTTTATTCTGGATACGGCGTCCCATTCTGATCGACTACATCAAGGATCGATTAGCATCCCTGCCTATGTCAGTACTTGGGACATTACTGCCCTCATCTGCTTACAAAAGAGAATTGTTTTTTTTTTTTACCTATGGTTTTTACCAGTCTATCGTTTTTACCTATGGTTTTTTTACTTGGGATGAACATACCAGTATTCTCATTAAGAGGAATTTATCTAGTGTTATCCAACTGAAGAAACTCCATATTGTATCTGAAATCTGCAAATTAAATCTCTAAATTAATCCAAATTGAAGGTAAGATAATGTCAGCGAAAAATCCAGGTACTGGATATCAGTGTGCAAATTTAACTTTGGAAAGTAAAACTGAGAACAATTAGAGGTCATTCCTTTAACAAAGTGCCCATTTTTCTCAGCAGGGGGCTCTAGAATTCAAGAGATGATTGAGAATGACTTTATTGTAGTTCATTTATTAACACAATTATAATGTGTTGAATATTAATTTTGTGTGTGTCCCAAAACACATGTTATGTACAACTCACTTTCACACAGGATTAATAACCAAAATAGGAATAAAATGTAAATGGTATCCTTTCCTTAACATTATCAAAACAAATTGACAGAAAAAATGACCACATAGTAGCTGTCTGTTGAAAAAGACTGATTCCTAAACCTGGAGATTTGGGTGAAAGCTTGCCTTGTTCCATCATGAAAATGGTGGAGATGCTTTATCTATTTTAGAGTAATAATACCACAAGTCGTAATGTGACTCGTATCAATCTTCTTGACAGCAAAAAGTGATTATGTGAATGTTCAACCTTATTTCACAAAACTCTATATACTAAGAAACACCACTGATATTATATTACTATGATTTATAAAGACATCTTACTTAGAAAGAAAAAAGGCTACATAGACAAGAATTAAAATCATTGACATGGAGTTTATTACAACATTATTGAGTTCTCTTTTACAAGGTTTATGAACAAATACATCCCTTTATATTATTGGCACTTCTTTAGATAACAGATGTGTATATTAGTGAAATGAACATTGACTGAGATGCTACAATTAAAGGCAAATGGCACTGAATGAGAAATGACCTGGACCAATGACTTGAAAAAAATCCCTCCGAGGAACATAATTAATCTGACATAAACAGTAAATGTAAACAATCATGGTTGATGTGTTGTTGTGAGGCAGCCTGAATAGTTGTTGATGTATCTACTGAAACAATAAGAAATCCTTCTACAAATGATTAACTTTTTTTTTTTCATTTGCAAACCTTTATTTTCAACACACCAAAATAAGAGCACCTCAGCTGTTGAGCATCAAACACGGTGAAGCTTTCAGCTGATGTCACAACGGTGATAAATGTGGTGGTTGGGCCACATGGCTCTGGAACAAAGTTATCCGGTCCAGCAGAGTAAGTGGGATATCTCTGATGACTGAAGGCAGGTCTTCATGATGTAACGGATAGATGACCACACTCAGGGCAGAGCGTGCAAACGAAAATCTAACAAAAAAAACATGGCTTTCATATTTCTATAGCAGTGACATTTTTTATGTACAATTTCGTCGTTACACATTCAAGTACTAACCTGTCCAGCAGCGTTTTCTGCAGAGTGCGACAAGCCACTAAGTGCCACCCATGAACATGTGGCACATGATGACATGGCAGCATCGCTCCATGAAGGCTTCTGTGGCCACTGGGTCAAAGGTTCCACTGCGTGAGATGAGGCAGAGACGCTGCAGATGTGGGCAACAAGACAGAGCCTCAAAGAACGAGGCGTTGGCATTCAGATAGGGCTGCTCTAACCTAAAAAAACACAGACACACAAAGTTCAATTAATAAGTAACAGGCAGAGTAAAGGTGTGAACTTATTGTGAAGGTAATAAATTATGTAAAAAAAATGGTTTGTATGTTTGAGTGTAAACATAATTATCTGAAAACTATACAACCTAATCAATCTAAATTTACATAAGAGAGGTTTAAATAAAAAAAACACATTGAGAAATAACAGTTGGATTAATAATAATAACAAAAGTCAGATAGTACAGTGAATGAAGGGTACACAAAACATCCTCTAACCTGAGTTCTTGTAGCTGCGTGCACTGTTTGAGTGTTTCAAGCAAGGCTGAATTGTAGTTCATGGTTTTTAATGATCCAATGTTGGCAAGTGATAATACACGTAAGTCTTTGCACTGTGTGGTCAGCTGAACCAACCCTGTCCCCCTAAGGACCCCAGGAAGCCCTGCCAGAGTCAGGCGGCGTAATCGAGGCAAAGCTTCAAGTGCGGCTAAGTGTGAGTCTCCAATCCCTCGCGCCCATGCACACATACCACGAGGCTCCACGCTGACACGAGAGCAGGGCTCAAGCCGAGGCATCGCAGAGATAAAACCCGGACCAATAAGCTCTAATGTCTGTAAAACATGGCAGCCAGCTAGGAGCTGACAGAGCCCTGAGGTACTGTCTCTTGACAGAGAAGAGTCCGAATCAGGTTTGTAGTTCTGGAGCCCAACACGAGGAGTCTTCTTTAACCCCAGGAATAGAGCAGAGGGAGACGTGTTGTTTGCAGAGATCTGATGTGTGTTTAAACCGTCTGACAGAGCGCAGACAGGTAGGGTGAGAGAGTGAAGGTGTCGGAATTTGGCCAAGCTAGCACACAGGTGTGTTTCTCCAGAAAGTCCCGGCGAGTTTTCATGGTGATAATGTGTGTGCATCAGGTTCAAGTGTTTAATGTTGGAACAGCCGACTGCCAGCCTGCTCATTGTGCCGGGAACCAGCTGATCATCAGCACTCCTGCACTCTGAGTAGAGGACCTGATTGATCCCGCTGAGGTTCAGGCTGATCAGCTGAGTGGCATCTTTGACTCCGCCCTCCAACAGTGACAGGAACACCTGAGGCCACAATGCTGGGCAGCGGCTGAAGCTGAGGTGTTTTGGACTGTTTCCCTCGAGGGCTCGCTTCAGGGACAAGGAGTCCAACCAGGAACGAGGGAGCTGCAGGGCCTCCAGGTCACCACGTAGACCCAAACTCTGGGCCAGCGAGGGAGCGGCAGGCCAGTGAGCAGGGTTCGGCCCAGGAATCGACACCAGGAAAACTCTTAGACGCTTCGGAACGTGGACACTGAATACAGCTAGATACAGCAGCAGCAAGGTCTGGTTTACCTAAAGACATCGACACACAGATAACTACAAACTGCATAGTACTAGAGTTTTGCAGATTTATATAAACACATTTCATAATTATGTACACTAGCAAAGTCACCTCTCCGGGAGCCAGTCTGGCTGTGAACTCCTCCAGCTGCTGATAATGTGGCACACTGCTCTGACCCACCATCAACTGACAGCAAACCCCGATACCCTCTCTGGTCACATCGGGGATGTCAAACTGCAGCATCAGCCTGCAGTGCAGAGACAAACACACACATTTAACAATGTAGCAGCAAAAAAGTTATGAAAAAAAAAAACTCAGTCCTTAGAGAGAAACAGGAGGGATGTGAGCGCAATTGTCTAAAATGAGAAGTGGCATCGTTGTGTTGTTCAACTATAATATTCGATCAGATGGACGTTTATTATCTTCATATGTTAAACGGTGTCATGTGTCAGTGTGGGTTTTTTTGGGGGGGAGTAGGGGGGTGACAATTTTTCATGTCAGTCATGTGGTTTGCTGTGAGAAGTGAACACAGATTGACATTTTTGAATACAATTTTGCATGACAGAGTTGACATTGTGCAAATACTCTGTCCTTCAATACTAAACTGATTACCTAATACCTGACAAACTGAGGGTACTCACATCAGCCTGAGGTGTACTTGGGGCTATATATCCAAATGTTACTATAACTGAAAATCTTTGGCATGTTAGTTTGGTGCCAAATTATCTTTCTTAGTTCAGCTCCAACATGAATCAAGAATTTCTATCGACACTACATGTTAGATAATGCAAAGGATGGTATAAGAATATTAAAAAAGCATAGACACCCTTTGATGTGACCTGAGTTGTCATGTGAAACCTTGGTAATCTGATGAATTCTCACTTGCGGAGCTGGGCGCAGCATGGCACCACACCATAACTCGGAGTCAACAGTGTCTGTCTGAGCTCCAACAGGCGGCTCAGGGAATCCACTGCTTCTGAACTGAGCTGAGCAGAGTTAAAGCCCGGTGTCACATCAAAGGCAAGTGATCTGAGGAGAGAGAGGGAGGAGAGGAGACGGGAGAGACGAAGGGAAGTAATGCGACAGCCAGTGACATCAAGGTGCGTCACTCCTCTGCAGCGAGCAAGAAGCTCCATTGTAGAACCAGACAGCCAGTAGCAACCATTCAGGCTGAGAGACTGCACTTGATTGGACAGCTGTTTCAATATTTGCCGAACCATCAGATCATCAGCCTGAAGGGAGTAAAAAAAATATATAGTTTATAATGTGTGTGTTGACAATGCAAGAAGTATTCACTGTGTTTTTAAGTTGTTGTTTTTTTTTGAAAGGACACAGATAGTCCGACACACACTTGAAATATTAATAGTAAACTGTGGAAGAGATCCTCACTGTAACTCCAAAAGTTAAACAAAAGGTCAAAGTTGTTGTTACCTGATACTCCTCAGACAGGCTGACACTAGTGAGCAGCGTCTTATCATGGCACAGTGTGTGTAACTTGTGGCAGACATTTGCCACATTCACCATCAGGTCACACACTGGAACATGGCGGAGGATGCACAGCAGGATCTCATCGGACAAATCGGACATTCCCACTGAGCTGGAAGACATTGTGTCCTCGTCGCGTACAGCCTGGGACAGAGAGCAAACACGTCATGGTAAGATGAAGAGCTTCTATAATGACTATATTATGGCTATGGCTTTTTTTTTTTTTTTAACGATGATGTAAATGTGCACATCATATTTTTGTCATAGTTTTCAGTTAATCAATAAGACAACTTAATGGCAGTATTGAATGATGTATACTCGTTTTCTCTGTAGCGGTGGGGGAACATTTTATGTACCACAGTATTTTGGAAAATGAAGTATAAAATGTGTTTAGTTGGGTGGCAGCTTCATGTCAAAATGTAGTGCAAAAATGTTGGACACACATATTCAGTGAAGTACTCAAGTAAAACTGATTGTGTCAAGATTTGGATTTCCAAATAGAAGAAACTTTGCATTAGTGTAGTAACCTTAGTGACAGATTAAGGATTAATACAAGTACCCGCTGAATCCTCTCATTAAGGCCACACAAGATTTCTGCTGATGGGCAGACACAGAACTTAATTTGAGCACACGTATGAAAAAGGAGGCACAAAAAACAACTTCCCAAGGCCTCTGCGCAATAAAATGCTTTGTGAAAAATAAATATTCATACTTACATTTGGCAGATGTTTCGTCTTATCTAACCAATCATTAACAATAGCAAGTTCTAGTTGGGCGCTGCCGCTACTAACCATAAACTGCAAGTTAAAAACTATTGTTGTGTGGTCGTAGTTTGTCGGTCAACACACCTGTTCAATTTGTCGATCCATGTCCTCTGAAATCTCTCCCTCACCCCTTAACTCATGACCTACAATATTTTAAATGTTCATCCAGCCGGAGCCGCATTTTCTCCTTAAACACGTTTTACACTGAACTGCAGCCGGTCGAACACCCAGGCGTTGACAGGACGGACCGGATTTGCTGCTGCACACTGACGGATGTCATTCTGTGACGGACAAACTTCCTGTCGGTAATTTCTTTTCAAAGCATATAAAATATTTTTTTTCATCTTTATTTGTAGTTAAAATACTGGCTGTTACATTTATAAAATAGTATATATTACAGGCCAAGCATGACTTGATGAACAAATCACAACAAAACCTATCAAAATAAATAAATATATATAATAATAATAATAATAATTATATAATAATATATATATATATATATATATATATATATATATATATATATATATAAAAATAAAAATCAGAGGTCTAATCTGAAATAAAAATCTTTAAACTTTGGTTTATTTCTGAAGCTTGTTTAGTTCTAATATTTTTTTAATTATTTTTCATTTTATTCTTAAATAATTAATGGAAATTAATTTTTCTATCCTTCATTAAAATGCCAAATTTGATCTTAATATATTCTAAATTTGGTGATTAGAAGTCTTTTGTTGATACCCAATTTTAAAATGAACCCCAAAAAGATTTTTGTTTCTTAGAAAATTCTAATTCTAAGGGTAAATTTCATTGTATTATCTGAAAATGTGTTTCTTTTGCTTTTGGTAAAATCATGTCTGATGAAGGGCGAGGGCCCTAAACATTAATTAAATTTAATTGGAGCAGCATCTGGTGTGCGGACTCAGTACTTTTTATTGTGAAGGCAACCTTGGTAGTATCCTGTCATATGTTAATGAGCCTTTCACCATATTTATGATTGCTTGAGGAACTGCCTTAATAACTGTTGAATATTGTGTTTCTGTACCTTCAATATTGAAAATTAAATCATTGTATTTGAGAAGATTCCCTCCTGGATCCATTATAAGTAAAATGGGCCAAATACCTCTCTCCACCCAATCACGATAACATAAAGACTTTTGTTTAAACAAAACACATCTATTATTCCATATCGGGCAATTGTGTGGGATTAAATTGTGTTTATAGGCCAGTTTCCAGTAAAGGAGGACTTGCTGAGACTTCAATAACTGGGAAGTTTAGAAACTAAAAATTCACATCTCTCCATTTAAGTTTTATCATTCCATTCATTGAATCATAGTCAATTACATTTAAACCCTCTTCCTCTAAGGATTTCACCACATCACTTTTTCTAAAATAGTGATGTTTGTTTTCATAGCATAGACATAAAAACACTACATAAACATAATATAGGCATCATGTAGAGGATATAGTGTTCAGGTTTAATAAATAAAATTAAATAAAATGTTCGGTACTAAAGGATTTATGGTTTACATAAGTGGTGGAAGAGGTATTTTAATGTGTTATTTCTTTAGAAATAGCACTACCACAGGTTACATTAACTCTGTTTAAAGTTAGTTTTGCCTTTAAAAAAAATCCCTTATATTCCAACTTCATAAAAGCAGATTAACTCATTTAAGTGGGATTTGATATTATAATTAAATGGATCATCAATATTGAGCTATTTTTTAATCTCAGACCTGAGCAAATATTTTGTCTTTAGAAACCTAGGTATTCAAAGTTACAAGTACTTATAGCTGTAAGATAGATGTTGAATAAAAACTTCTGTTTTCCTTTAAATAAAATTGAAGTATAGGGTTAGTTCAAATAGAAACATCAGTGTTGTAAACTTTGAGTTTTAATTCTTAATATAAAAATATAATTTCAACCTGTGATTCTGTTGTTCTTTTTAAAGTCCTTTAAAAATTAAAAAAAAAAATCATTTTAGTGTAAGAAAGAGGCAAAGCTCGGATAACAAAAAAAATACAATAATACAGTCCTATTCAATGAAGCTTTTTGAATATGTAATGTTTATTTCAATTTATTCCGTCAGTGAATCTATTATACCAACATATCGGGCATTAGCAAAATATTAAAAACTAGTTTTTTTGTTGTTTTTTTACATTGTGTTAACTCCAATACTAAAGTACATATTAGCCTGTGTGAACATATACCTTGAAATGAAAGACGACCTATGATGGAAATTTAAATTGTATATACTTCACAGGCTACTCCTGCAAATACAGTTTATAACCCCAAAACATCCACTACAGTTACAAATTATATTTCATGTGTAATGGACAGTTGACATATACATACCCACTTCATAGTTAAGTTAATGAACTATGAAACATGCACAGTAAATGTACATGAGATTAAAGATAATTTTATGGTCATCATGTAAATATTGTATTATCCTCTGATATCAATCTATGTATCCTGCTTAGTATTAAATTAACACATCTGTCACTGTACATAATTACATGTTCTTGTCAGCAGCTGTTGCACTCCTCACCATTGCACTATTGTCATAAAAGTTTTGTACATAAAGCTTTTTGTGTTGATATTTAAAGGTATAGTTCATTTACGTAGAGAGGTTTACCAAAGTCATCCTTGTATGTGCAACTATACCTTTCCCAATAAAGCTGGTTCTGATTCTATAACTACGGTATTATGCAAGATGCATGTTCTGTATATTAATTCATGTATTATGACCAGTAACCTACATATAGCATAAAAATGTTTACCATCTATTGACGCCTGCAGTTTCTTCTACAATGCCATGCCAAAGTGTGTTTTCAGCCGATCATTAACACAAAGATTATTTTTCACATTTTGAATACACCATGTTACATTAAATATTTGTGATCCAAGCTGAATGAAGACTAAGTAGACAGACTGGAATCTCAGACATGTGCGCTTTATTGGGTTGTTGTGTACACCAGAGGCTGGAAGCCTCATGCATAAACCTTTGTGTACCCCCATACAAGGTAGAAGCTTTGTCTTTCTGCATAATGACAAAAACAAACTGGACCAAGTATCATTTAAGGCTGATAGTACAAAAAAAAAAAAAAAAAAAAAAAACAAGTTTCAGGTTACATAATTTACATATTAAGCAATACTACAGGTCTGTTGGGCAGTGGGCCCACCAGAGAATAAACCTTCATAGAGGCAAATAAGGTGGTGAACAAACACATCTGGAATGACCTACACAAACACGACAATGGACATCATGTTCCTCACATTCACACCGCCTTGGACGCTCTGTACCTCCTGCAGAGTTTTTCCCCATCAGGGGGCATGGTGCCATAGCCATAGTGATGAGGGAAAATGGGAAGAGGTGTTCTGGGCTCAGCATACACCAGTGTGTTGGTGTAGGCATGTATGCAGAGCCAGTCGTTTGGGTTTGTAGCAGTGTGTATTTAGGGAGAGGGGACAGACAGTCTGTTTAGAAGCACTTCCTGTGGACAATGCTGGGGCCGGACTCATCGTACTCCTGCTTGCTGATCCACATCTGCTGGAAGGTGGAGAGGGAGGCCAGGATGGAGCCTCCAATCCATACAGAGTACTTCCTCTCCGGGGGAGCAATGATCTAATGGAAGAAACATTCATTTTTATTTATTTTTTTAAGTCTTATGCTATGTGTTAGCGAAATAGACTACCTAGAGAGATTGAATACTGCATTAAAATGTTTCCTCCACCAGGTGGCAATAGACAAAGATCTTTTTGCATCAATGCCTCAAGGAAATACAAGTGAATAATGAGCCAAGTCATACCTTGATCTTCATGGTGGTGGGTGCCAGGGCTGTGATTTCCTTCTGCATACGATCAGCGATGCCAGGGTACATGGTGGTACCACCAGACAGCACAGTGTTGGCGTACAGGTCCTTACGGATATCCACATCACACTTCATGATGCTGTTGAAGGTGGTTTCATGGATGCCACAAGATTCCATACCTGTACAAGGAGGGCGTGAAAGTTATCGTTTGGGATGCTCTCCTTGCTGCAATAAGCTTTATACTTCCAACTTCAAATTGTAGGTGTCCCTGACTTAACTTACCAAGGAAAGAGGGCTGGAAGAGGGCCTCAGGGCAACGGAACCTCTCATTGCCAATGGTGATGACCTGTCCGTCGGGCAGCTCGTAGCTCTTCTCCAGGGATGAAGAGGAAGCAGCAGTGCCCATTTCCTGCTCGAAGTCGAGTGCAACGTAACACAGCTTCTCCTTGATGTCACGCACGATCTCACGCTCAGCTGCAGAGGAAGAAGACATTTTAGCCATGTTCGTCAAGTTTCCCCCTAGTTTTAAATTGAAACTTTCTTGTCAATTAGCATTTTTGTGCTAACCTGTGGTGGTGAAGCTGTAACCCCTCTCGGTCAGGATTTTCATGAGGTAATCTGTAAGGTCCCTGCCAGCCAGGTCCAACCTGAGGATGGCATGGGGCAGGGCATAGCCTTCATAGATGGGCACTGTGTGGGTTACACCATCACCAGAGTCCATGACAATACCAGTGGTACGACCAGAGGCATACAGGGACAGGACAGCCTGGATGGCCACATACATGGCAGGGGTGTTGAAGGTCTCAAACATGATCTGTGGAGAGAAGAAACAAAGATGAGTCTTAAACACAGTGAATCAAAATAGTAAGATTAATACAATCAGAGAAAAACACACCACGCTGTAAGTTATTCTTTGAGTATTAAACGCCGACTAAAAATCACTACAATAAGTTTCACTTTTGTCATGCGAGTTGAGAGAGATGTTTGAACACTTGTATCACACAGTAACCAGTGTAGTTAGACTCTCTGAAACAAACCAAAAGCAGAAGCATCCAAGAGCCTAGTTTAAAAAAACAACAACAAACGTGACCATGCTGCAACAAGTCATTCCTGATGCATCTGTGAAAAGATAGAAACCTGGAGCTTCCGAGGAGATGAAAAGATCAGCACAGGACAGAGGAAACCTGGAGATTTATGAAGCAGGAGGAAATTGATAGATTGAGCAGAAGCAAAAATGCCTCAGTGGTTCCTGTTGCAGGGCCCTGTGAGTGAGCCGAGTGGGTTTTATGATTCAGAGTTAATGTCAAAAGGTGGTTGTTACCTGGGTCATCTTTTCCCTGTTGGCCTTGGGGTTCAGGGGGGCCTCAGTGAGCAGGACTGGGTGCTCCTCAGGGGCAACTCTCAGCTCATTGTAGAAGGTATGATGCCAGATCTTCTCCATGTCGTCCCAGTTA